CGGGAGCGGGCGGGCGCGGGGTCGGAGCCGGCGGGCGGGCGTGGAGCCGGAGGGGCCGGCGGGATGGCGCGGGCCGGGGCGGCGGGCGCGGGGCGTTGAGCGGCGGGCGCGATGCGGCGCTCGAGCACGGACGAGTCCACGTACCGGCGCAGCCCGTCGCCGGAGGGCAGGGGCTCGGGCTTCGCGCGCGGCGGCCAGTTCCGCCGCTGCAGCAGCCTGTGCGGGCGCGCGGGCGACGGCGGGGGTCCCTCCTGCGGCCTGCACGCGACCCCCGGCCCCAAGGCGGCCCAGGCGCGCTACACGTCGCCCAAGGGCAACAAGTACGTGGTCTTCTACCTGGACCTCTCCTTCATCTTCCTCCTAGAGCTGAAGCGCTGCAGCATGGCGCGCGGCTGCCTCCAGGGCGTCAAGTACCTCATGTTCGCCTTCAACCTGCTCTTCTGGGTGAGTCACGGCGGGGCCGGCAGCGGGGTCTGGGGGCGCCGGTGTCGCCGCTCCGGCTGGGCGTTTGGTCGAGGGGGCGGCGGAGAGCCCAGGGTCGCTGCTCTGGCCAGGGCTGGCGGCGGAGGTTTCCGCTATCGCGGGTGCCCGGCCGGGCCTCTGCCCCGGGGCTGCCCGGCCCGGCCCGCTCCCCTCTCTTGCGCATGTGCGCTCGGGATAGGGCCGCCCAGGACAGGGCCACCCCAGGCGCTGCGCCTGCCCAGCGGTCGGGGTCGAGCCCCGGGGGTGGCCCCCGCCCTGCGCCCGCTCCCCCGCTCAGCCTGCGTCCTCGCCCCGCCCCACTTCGCGCCCCTCCGAGCGCGGACCCAGGGACCCACCTCCGGGGCTCGGCGGGGAGCCGGCTGCTGGGCTCCTGTGGGAATGGGGTGGGGCCCCGGCAGCACTCGGGGGGACGAGTGCCTGCAGGGAGGCGCCTGGCTTTCCCGCCTCCTGCTCCTACTAGAGCTCCCCTAACTTCTGCAGAGGCGGGTTCGGGTTTGTTCGGCCTTGGGGCGGGGGTGTCCCGTGCGGCTTGTGTGCTGGGTGGAGTAGAGCTGAGGAGCAGGGAGGACAGTGCCCACTCCACCCCACCCCATAACTGCAGGTCTCACACCTGGCCAAGGTGGAGCAAGCCTGGTGTGACCTGGACCCTGTCCTGTCCCTGGACACTGAGCGGGGCTGGGCTGGAGTTGGGGGTGACCTCTGATTACCTGGGCCGGGCTGGGCTTCACTGGCTGGGCCAGGGGAGGCTTGGTGGAGAAGCGATGCCAAGGTCATTCCATCTCTGGTCTTGATTCCCAAGCCGGCTCTCCTGCAACTGGGCACACAGGGGCGTGGCTTCGGCTCCTGCCTGGGCAGTGGACTTCAGGGAGATGCTCACTTGCGTGTGGTCAAGGCCAAAAGCCCGGAAACCCGGGGCCACTTTCCTGCTCTTTCCTTCCCTGCTGGGCCCTGGCTCTTCTCTCTCCAGCTTGGGTAGGGGATGGGGGTCCCTGGGAGGGACAGCCAGCCTGGGCTGCCTGTGGGGTACAACCCAAGGAGGTTCCTGCCCCAGATGTCAATCTCCAGAAGAGGCCACCCCAAGGGTCTGTTCTCTGCTAGAGGTTCTGGGGAGGGCCGAGGCCCAGGACCAGGCCTGGAGGGTGCCCTGGAGGCTGGGGTGGACAGCGGAGGTGGGTGTGGGCTGGAAGCATGGCTAGGGCATGGGAAGAGGTGAATGTCCACTTGGGTGGCTGGCCAGTGGCAGCAGGCACCAGGGCAGTTAGTGCTAAGCATTGGCAGTGTGTGGGTGGGTGTCGCTGTGACGTGGGGGTGCAGAGTGACTGGGGGGACACTGCACGTAGGGGCAGTTCCTGGAACGTGGGCAGGTCCTGCTTCTCTCCCTACCTGCTCTCCTCAGTGACCTGGACACCTGCCTTCTGGGAGGAGGAGGAGGGGCCTCTGGGGGCCTGTCTGCTCTGAGAGCAGCCCAGCCTCTCGGGGTCCCCAGGTGGAGCTCTCTCTGCCCCAAGAGCCCTGAAGAAGCCTCCCTGCCCATTGCAGGGCACACACGCTCCATGGTCCCCGTGGCGGATGGCAGCCGCTGACCCACTCAACTGGAAAAGAACAAATCAGGAACCCTTGGGACCCCCGCCTGGGCTGCAAAATTCACTTGCTTTTTATTATCTAATTATACTCCCAGCCCAGCAAACTGCAGCCCCCGCTGCCAGCCCTGCCCCCCCAGCCTGGTGCCCGGTGGGGGTCTGAGACCGCAGGGCCAGAGCAGGGGCCCCAGCCCTGCCCAGGGGCCTGCTGGGGCTTGAAGCCACCATGCAGAGCACGTGGTGGGGGTGTAGAGGTGACAGCCACCCCCACCTTGTCCCTGAGTTCCTGTTGGTGACAAGGCTGGGGGTAGAATGGCAGGGCCAGTGTACCCCTCCCCCAGCCCCAGCTCCTTTGCTGAGGGGGTGTCTGCCCCCCCGTAGGAGGGATTTTTTTCCTTCCATTTCCCAGTCACACTGGGAGACCAGAGGACAGAACCTTCCATGGTGTTGCCTCAGTCTCCCCACTGGAGCCAACCATGGGGGCCGAGGCTGTGGGAGAGGGTCCCCACTGGCTGGACCTCAAGAGCCCTGTGTGTCTGTCCTGACCCCACCCTACCGGGCCAGGTGCTGGGCCTCCAGGGGTGCCCTGGCCAGTGGGGAGGGCAGTGGTGGGAGCCGGGTGGGGAGCTGTGCCCATCCTGGTGCGGCTCCCGGAGAAGGGTTGGTGTGGGGGGCCCAGGGAGTAGGTGGGCAGGACGGGAGTCTGCAGGCAGGTGGAGAAGCTGGGGGTGTGGGAATGGGGGGCCATGCTGCGCACCTACTCAGAGGTGGCTGCAGTGGTCTTTCTCTAGCTCCTGTCTGCCCACCTGCCTGGTCAGGCTGCCCCTCGGTTTTGCTCTCCTGTCCTCCAGCTCCAGCCTGGCACCCCTCTCTCCTGCCTGTGCCTCGGGGCTCACCTCAGAGCCCCCATTCTCTGAAAGGCAGACCCTCCCCAAGGCCTCCACTGACTCCTGGCTTCCTGAGACCTCTTTCTGGGCTGAGACCAGAGCCCCCCAGCACCCCTCACTGTAGGGCTGGGCCCCTGGTGGAGACCACAGCCCCTGACTGGGCCTAGGGTGGCCTTGGGGTCCTACTTGGTGGAAGTGGGACGGAGGGTGGGGTAGCTCCAGAGGTTCAGCTGGGTCTTGTTTATGTGCCGACTTCGAGGGCCCCTGGAGGGTGGGCTGCCAATGAGGGTCTGCACAGAGCCTCCAGCCTGGGGTCAAGGGGGAGGGGTCCTGAGGCAGCCAGGACGGGTAGGTAGCAGGTGCTGTGTCCCGGTGGTGGGGAGCCCAGACAGATATGCAGACGTGGCGCGGCCCCAACCCCCAGACCCCCAGACGCCTGCCCTCCTTTGGCAAGCAGCGTCCTTACTAGCTGGCCACATCTCCACTGGGCAGTCACTGATGCTCCTGGAGGTGTGCACAGGTGGGGTGGCCTGGTTAGGGCCAGGGTCCCTGTGGTGGGGCCGGGTGTCCCCTGGGAGTCCTGTCCTCGTGGGAGAGGGCTACGTAGGGCCCATGAGTGAGGACAGCCAGCAGCGGGGCGGGTTGAGGGGTCCCCACCCCCTTGCTCTCAGCCTCTGCCAGCAAAGCTCTTCCCATAATGGAATCGAGGTCCCGCGGGTGGACGGAGAGGACAGGCCTGCTCTTCCTGCCCTCCCCCGCCCCGTCCCACGAGCACCTGGGTGGAGGCTGTTTCTGTGGCTCCCGTATGGCCAGCCGCGGGCTGTGTAAGGGCTGCCCGCCGTCCCGCCTGGGCCCCAGCCAGCAGCCTGGCTCCTCCCAGGCTGGGTCCTGGCCAGGCGAGCCCTCCACGCGGCCCCGTCTCCTTCCCACCGCACACCAGGCGCTCAGTGGAAGCCTCAGGCTGCTCCTTGAACGTGTGGTTGGGGTCTGTCTGGGCAGCCGGGGTGGGACCCAGGGCAAGTCCTGTCCTCCCCAGGCCTCAGTTTCCTGGTCTGCACCACAGGGCACTGTGCTGGGTCAGGGTCCCCAGACACTGGGCTGGCACAGGAGGTGGGCAGTCCCCCTCAGCTCCCACCCAGCCTGCTGACCCCAGGTGGGCAGAGGCCTGGCTGGAGGAGGTGTGGGGTCAGAGTCAGGTGTCCAGGGCCCAAACTCTGCCTCCCCCTGTCTTACCGGGAGGGGACTGAGGGGCTGCCCTGGCCCTGCCCAGCGGGCATGGGGGCCCATTCTGTCACCCCCAGGGCAGGTCCTGGCAGTGCTCGGGCCTCTGCTCTGGAGTCGACGGTGACTTGCTGGGAGAGGCGCAGGCTGGGCCCTTGGCTTTCTTTCCCTGTGATGAGCTATGACGACGTCCGACAGCCATGCCCAGGCTGCCTGTCACTGGCCTCTGGGCAGGGCACTGTGATATGGTGGCGGAGGAGGGGACCCTGAGGGTGGCCAAGGGCCCTGCACCGAGCTCCCGGGGCCTCCTTTGCTGACTTTAGCATCCTGGGTGTTCTCGGTGGGGACGGCAGCAAACACACAAGTCCATTTCTGCACAAACCACTGTGCGTCTGCTCTTTGGGGAGTTCATGGCTCCTCTGAAGGGTTGGGGGTGGCAGCGGTTGGTCGGGGGACCCTGCCTGCCCAACTGTGGGCCCCAGATGGCTCTGTCCACCTGGTGACCGAGACGCGGCTCCATGGGGCCTCTGTGGGTCCCCAGAGTCCAGTGTGGTGGCAGGGCAGGTGAGCCTCTGTGTGGAGAGAACCTTCTAGACATAGGGCAAAACTGGAGGGTTCTTTCTTGGGCAGAGACATGGCCTCAGCCACTAAGGGCTGCAGGGGGCAGGCGGAGAGGCCGGGGGGCCTGTGCTCAGGAAGGGGGAGTGCGTGTGGTAGTGCGGGTCTCAGCTGCACCTGCCCGAAGTGAGGTCCTGGCCCTCCGCCTCCTGGCCTGGCAGTGACGCTTCCTCTCCTCTCCCAAGCAGCCCTGCTGAGGTCACGGTCTCTCCTCTGGATGCCCCTCGCCCCTCCCACAAACTCCTACTCACCCTGCAAGACCCAGCTCTGCTTCCCTGGGAAGGGGGACCTGCTGGTGAGGGCCGCTTTGCTCTCCCTGCCTTGGACTCTGGCCTCAGTGGGTCCTTGGTCAGTGGATGTGGCCAGTCTCCTCATCTGTGAGTCTGGGGGGCACCTGGAGAGCTCCCAGGGTCGGGGTGACTGGACAAGGAGTGTGATGTAAGGATCTGGTGTCTTGACCGCTTCCCACACGTCCAGTTGCTCAGGGCTGGCTAAGAAAACAAATCAGGGTGCGGTGGCTCACGCTTGTAATCCTAGCATTTTGGGAGGCTGAGGCGGGAGGGTCACTTAAGGCCAGGAGTTTAAGACCAGCCTGAGCAACATAGTGAGACCCAATTCTACAAAAAGTAAGAAGAAAATTAGCCAGGTGTGGTGGTGCGCACCTGTAGTCCCTGCTACTCGGGAAGCTGAGGCAGGAGGATCGCTTGAGCCCAGGAGTTGAGGCTGCAGTGAGCTGATTGTGCCACTGCAGTCCAGCCTAGACGACAGAGTGAGACCCTGTCTCTTAAAAAAAGAGAAAAAAAAAGAAAAAAAATGACAGCCAATTGTACAGATTTTAAGTGGAGAGACTCTTCATACCTGGTAACCAACATTCCAGCCAAGATGGGCCATTTCCTCTGCACACAGCCTTGGCCTCTGCGGGAACCCAGCCCTCCACCCTGTTCCAAGGGCTGGGCCAGCTGCCTGGCCATCTGCCACACTAGCTGGTGACTCGAGGGGCAGTGGGCAGAGGGCCAGCCAGCACTGCCCCCAGGCCGGGAGGGGAGCGCATGCCATGGTCCCCACCCCCAGCCTGAGGCTAAGCCCAAAATCCACAGACAAGCACAGCGAGGACAGAGGGGGAGGTCAAAGGACGTTGGCAGCACGTGCCACGTGCCAGGGCTGGGTGCCGGGGGTGACAGAGGCCTCCTGGCCGTCATTGGCTCAGTCTTGGGCAGAGCCCACAGTCACTTTTGAAGGTCTTGGCGAGCCAGTGCTGAGTAGGGCTGGGCTGACACCAGCTAGAGGACGGTCCCATGCGGTGCTGGGCTGGGCCCAGGTGCCCAGCGGAACACTGATGGGGCCTCCCCGCCCCCCAGGTGTTCCCCCCTGGGCTACATTTGACTGGGGAGGGACTGGTGCTCCTGCCCCCGCCCCCGCCCCCGGGGACTCAGTCCTGCTTACCCTGCCTCTGGATGTTCCGTCCAATGGGGCCCATTTTCTCTTGCACTTTGAGGCTGTAATTTTCCTGCCAAAATGTTTTAAAAGCTGCATGCATAGAAACATTTTCAAAATTACAGGTCATTTTATTAACCACGCGCATGCATTCTTTAGTGCTGGCGCGTCTGAGAGTGCAGTGACGGGTCCGTGGGGTCTGCAGGCATGGGGCGGCCTTAGGGCTCGAGGGAAGCGCCGGGTCGCAAGGCGAGGCCGTGAGCGTGGGGCTGCCTGCCAGGGTGCAGGGCGTCTGTCACTGTGCTTGTGGTGGTGCCCGGCTGGTGGCAGTAAGCAGGTGGGGGTGGAGGTGAGGATGTTTCCTGGAGTGCTCATCAAGGAAGTAAGTTCCCACCAGGGCTGGGGCAGTTGTGGAAGGGGATGGGGCTTGGGGTGTAGGGCTCCTTCCTGTCCAGGCCCCCATGGAACAGGGTGTTCGTCCCCCAACCAGGCCTGGCGCCAGCCACTTTGCATGGCCTCCTACCCAAGTCCTTCGCGCGTCCCTGTGGGGCAAGGGGAGCTCAGAGCGGCTCATTTTCCTGCTGACTTGAGTGGTTTGCTGTCCTTGGAAGGCAGAGGTGGATGGCTCGGGCAGTCTGGGCTCTAAACGACAGTTTTCCCTGTTCAACCAGCACCTCCTCTCTGCTCAGGGACCTGCCATCACCTGGCCTGGGTGCTCAGCCCCGAGGTGTGACTGGCAGGGGGCCGCTTGGTTCCTCAAGGGCAGGACATGCTGTTCGCTGGGCATTGTGCCTGGGGTCACCGGGGTCAGCCTGGCAGGTAGCCATTTCCCGGGGCCTCTTCTGTGGGGCAGGCACAGAGCTGGGAGGTAGCCCCCCTCGGTGATTGGGACCCAGGGCCTCACGTCCCCAGTCCCAGGGGCAGCAACATGGCAGGGCCATGTGTGTCCTATCTGCTCCTCCACTCCCCCCGAGTCACCCCCTGGGTTCTGGAAGGTTCCCTGAGACCTGGGAACCGCCAGAGGCCATGGGGAGCCCCTCGTCTCTCCATGTCAGGATGTGTCTGGTGGGAGGACTGAGCCATTGCCTGTCTAGCAGGTCTCTCCTGTGCTCATTGGTGTTACAAGTGTCACCTCCTCAAAGACGGGTCGGTGCCCAGAGGTGCTGCCAGGCCCAGCCTCACCCCCTCCTAGCGTCCCTGGCTGCGGTCAGCACTGTGTACATCCCATGGCAGGGGTCCTGGTCCCACGGGAAGGAGGGCATCTCTGTGTTGCTGGCAGACCCCTGCCCTACCCTACAGCTGTGCCCCAAGCCCAGCTCTCTCGGGGAGGACAGACCCTGTTTCTGCTCTCGGGCATATCATGCCCCAGCTCGCCATACCCAGGGCTCACCCCTGCCCTGGCGAGTCCCAAGCCACCCTCCTCTGGCTGTGCCCGCTCCCACCTCCACGCCCTTTCCAGGCTCCCAGGTGTGCCCCCTCACCTCTGGGCCGGGTTGCTCAGAAGCCACCCCAGGCTGGGCGCTGTGCTGAAGCTGTCTGTCGACTCCTCGGCAGCCCCTCGGGGAGCTGCAGGGCCGTGCCGTCAGAGTGGGGGCAAGTTGGCCCTGTGTCAGGATGCCCCCCATCCTGGTGCCCAGAGCACAGGGGCCGACCCCTCTTGTGCCAGTCTGTCCGTTTCTCCCCACCCCTATTTCCTGTGCCCTGGGAGAGGCCCTGGGCTCTGGGTGTCTGCGCTCGGCAAAGCTTCCCAGGGCGGGCCCTGAGCCCCAAGCTCCAGAAACGTCTTGTTCTCCCTGTTAAGCAGAGGAGCCAGCCTTCCATGGGAAGCCCCTGGCAGGACAGAGCCTGCATTCACCCCAGGATGGACTGGGCAGGTGGGTGCTCTCAGCTGTGCTGGGAGGCGGGATTTTCCTGCTCTGCAGGGTTTGGCCCTGAGGGGCCTGGAAGGACCCCTGACACCAGTAATGGCCTGAGCCTGCACCCCTGGGCGCCTGTGGCTGCTCTTGCCCTTGGTCTGGGAGCCTTGCCATGGCGGTCCTGCTGCCCCACCCGGGGGCTGGGGAGGGGTGTGCGTGCGTGCACCTGGGGCAGGGGTCTCGGGCCTGCCTGAGCCCTGGAGGTCCCTGTGTGGGCTGAGGCCCTGGGCCTGGTGTAGCCGGGCGGCCGGCGTGGTGGGATGGGGCTGCCGGCGGCCCCTCTCCCAGCCCTAGTTTCTTTGGAAAATGCATGAGTTTGGCCACTGGGACTCAGGAAGCTTTTATGGGGTGATGTGGGTGGACGCCGTTTCCTCAAGTCCGGGGGCTCCACGGAGTCGAGGGGCAGCTTTGCCAGTCCACGCTCATGTCCTGTCCCCTCCTCCTGAGTGGGGCAGGGGCCCCGGGGCAGGAACACACCCTCCCGTTTCATCCCGGAGTGACCCAGAGCCCACAGCCTCAGTCGGAGGAACGGGGGGCCAAAGCCACAGCCCCCACCGGCCACCTGGGCTGAGCCCTGCTCCCCCAGACTGGACGTCCCATCATGGGAGGCTGTGAGCCCTCAGATCCACTGCCCCCTTCGCTTACCCCCGACTCCCGTTTCTACTGATTTTCACCGCAATGAGCAGTGGTGAAACGCACTGAAAGCTGGTTGTGGAAGGCCCCTGGGGAGGAGGCTGTGAGTAGGTGCCCCCTTGAGACCCTCCTATCCCATCAGTGCCCACGTGGCTGTGACAAACCCTAATTAATTATGAGCAGAGGTGCGAGGGCATCAGGGCTCCCTTGCCTAGGGTGACAGGTACAGGCAGGGACACCACAGCGGGATGGCAGACACTTGGGGTCTGTGTTCGGAATCCCCAGGACCACCCGCCAAGAAGCCTGGTTTGGGAGTGAGGGAGCAGGGGCCGCAGACTGCATGGTCCGAGACATCTGTCCAGTGGGCAGACCTGCGGGGCAGCATGGGGGGGTACAGGCTGGGCCTTGGGGGCCAGAGAAGACCCAGGCCCTCTGCTCCAGGCAGTGAGGTGGGCAGACGCTTCCTGGGCGGAGTGGCGTTCTGGGGAGGCACTGGTCATTTCAGGCAGGGGCTGGCACCCCACCACTGTGGGTCGGGGGCACCTGCCCGGGGTGTTGTGTAAGACTGGGGAGGGGCGCCCAGGCCCAGTGACCCCACAGGATTCCTGTCCCGGGAGGCCAGCAGGGCAGGTGAGGATGGGCTGGGGGCCTGCCCTGGACACCCTGAGGGCTGTTGTGGGCATTAGTGGGACTCTGGGTGGCTCTGGGGCTCAGGCTGAGAGACGGCACGACCTGGGGGTGGGCTGGGCTGTGCCAGGTGCGGAGCCTACCTCACGCTGCCTCCCCTCGCTGTGGTTCCAGCTGGGAGGCTGCGGTGTGCTGGGCGTTGGCATCTGGCTGGCTGCCACGCAGGGGAACTTCGCCACCCTGTCCTCCTCCTTCCCCTCCCTGTCGGCCGCCAACCTGCTCATCATCACTGGCGCCTTCGTCATGGCCATAGGCTTCGTGGGCTGTATCGGGGCCATCAAGGAGAACAAGTGCCTCCTGCTCACGGTGAGTGCCGGCGGGGTCTGTGTGGGCTCGTGGGGCAGCGCCGGGGCTCCGGGGGCTCCACTGGTTCCCCAAGCCGTGGCTGCTGAGGTCCACTTGACACACGGGCCCCACCTTGGGGGCCTGGCCTGGAGGGACACGAGGACCAGGCTGGGGCGGAGGGTCCGGGGCCTGGAGCAGCCCTGGGGGCCCTTTGCTGGGTACTCCAGGCCAGGCTGGGTTGGGGGGCTGCTGGCCCAGGAGAACATGCTGCAGCTTGGTGGGCCCTCCCTTGCCCCCCGCCTTGCCGGGGCGTGGACACACGTGAACGGAGGCACACCCCATCCACGTGTGCAGCCACTACTGGGCTTGTTCTCTCCAAGCCTCATCCCTGACCACCTCCAGCCCCGCCCTGGGCCTGACCTCTCAGCCCCCCAGGACCCTCTGCCGAGAGCCGGGCAGCCTGGCCTGTGCCTCTGGGATGGATCTGTGGGCAGGATGTTTCCCCTCCTCAGAAATGCTAATCATGGACAACTAAATAGGGAAAGGATCCCTGAGTGAGCCCAGCCAAGGCCTTGGACAGGGTGGATGCCTGCTCGCATCCTACGTCATGAGGCTGAGAGGGGTCCCCTTGTCTGAGGGGCTTCTTCAGGTCCCCGGCCCTGGTGGAGCCAGCCCACACCCCCCACGCCCCGACCTGTGTCAGCTTTCATGGAGTCCAGCACGTTCAGGAAGATGTTCCCAGTTGGGGCTGGGAACCCCGTGGAGGCAGTGCGGGACGCAGGGCACAGTGGGGTCCGTAGAAGCCCTGCTGGGGCTCAGGGCTCCTTGGGCAGTGGAGGAAGCTGCAGTGTGGCCTCCACAAAGCCCGGCACCCTTGGCCCAGGGGCTGACCTGCCATTTGGAGCCCAGTCTGAACAGAGACTGGATGCGGCAGGAGACGACAATGCCTGCCCCCCAGGCCAGCCCCACTTGTGCCCACCCTGTCCATGCCTCCCTGCCTCTTTGTGGCGTCAGTGACCCACATGGAGGGACAGGCTGGGAAGGCTGCCTCCACCCGCTCAGCTGGCCAGGGGCACCCAGGGCAGGTTTGGGGCTGTGCCCTGGCGCGTGGTGTGGGGGGATTCCTGGAGGGTGCGGTCAGAGGTGGAGGCTTCTGCCATTGTCCAGGCACCTTGCTCTCACCTGAGGGAGCGCTGGCCACCCTAGCTGCCCTGAGGGGTGTGATGTGGGAGTTGGGGGGCACCACGGTCCAGCCCCGCCCTCGCCAGGCAGGAGTGCTCCACCTCCCGTGGCCACATGTTTGGGATCCATCTCAAACCTCCCAGAGGAGGTATCCTAAGTGCAGCTGATGGGCGGGAGGCTTGGGGCCTCTGGAATGGGGACTTGTCCTTACTTGGGGGTGTCTGGGTCACTCTGATGGGGTGGAGGGAGCCCAGGCCAGCCCAAGGCCACAAAGCTGAGAGGCTGAGCAAGATACGATGTCCACTGTCCCCGAACCTGGGATTAAAGGTTCCAGGCAGGGTGGGGTGGCACTGGGGGGTCTCCAGGTGCAGGGATCTGGCTGGGGTTTCTGGCAGCACCACCTGGCCCTTGGCATGCTGTCAGGCTTGGCGGGGGCAGGGTCTGGGGTGGCCAGGGTCCGGGTCACCAAAGCCTGTCCCTCTCCGGCAGTTCTTCGTGATGCTGCTGCTCGTGTTCCTGCTGGAGACCACCATTGCCGTCCTCTTCTTCGCCTACACTGACAAGGTACAGCTGCTCGGCCCCTGCCCAGCGAGCACCGTGGCTGTGCAGACGGGAGTGGGGCATGGGCACCGTGGGCTCGCACTTACCCACTGCCCTCGAGGGGTTCCTGGCAGCACTGGGGGGTGTGTTTGTGGCTCCCTACCCAGGGGCGCTCAGCGAGGCTGACCCCAGCCGTCCGGTGAGCACCTTATGGATCCCGCGGCGTCCCAGCCGCTGTTCCCCGTTCACGCTGCCCTCCCCTGCGTGTTATCTGGAATTCCGACTCCCGTCTTCCCCTTATGTGCATCAGGATGGGCCTGTTCATTTGTGTTGTACACTCTGGTCACGATCTAGTCGTTAGTTTTTGCTCACGTTCCATCTGTGGCCACGGGGAGCTCCTCTGGTTGGCTCCTGTGTCCCTCTGACGTGCCCGTCAGCGGACTTTCCCTGTTGGAGCACTTCCCGACTTTCTGGCACGCGGGGTGCTCCAGGCTCCTTGTGCCATCCCTGCCCAGGCCCCAGATCAACCGCTTCTCCAAGGAGCCCTGGTCTCCGCTGGAGGGGGACCCAGAGACCAAGGCCTGGCTGGGCGTGCTCGCTACTCCAGGGTGCCGCAGCTTCTGGCCCTCAGCTCACGGCAGGGACGTGTGTTTGTGCCAACAAGTGGGTGCACACGTATCTGCTCACCCCGTCCCTGTACCCCAGGACCCCATGGTCCTCCCCCAGCCTGAGAAGGAAGCCAGGGAAGGGCCTCCTGAGCAGACACGAGGCCTGGACCGTGTCCTCAGCTTGATGGGTGGCGCCAGGGAGTGACTTCATGGGCGGACCGGGTCTGGAGGAGAGAGGGCACAGTGAGGGACCCTGCTGACCCCGCCACCCCCACAGATTGATAGGTATGCCCAGCGAGACCTGAAGAAGGGCCTGCACCTGTACGGCACACAGGGCAACGTGGGCCTGACCAACGCCTGGAGCATCATCCAGACTGACGTGAGGCGGGGGGAGGCCCTGGTGGGGGTGGGCGGGGCCTGCAGGCGCACCCCTGCCGCGGGACGGCCTGCCCTCCCCCTTGAGCCCCAGCGCCAGGCCTGTGCTTGCCCCCCAGTTCCGCTGCTGCGGCGTCTCCAACTACACTGACTGGTTTGAGGTGTACAATGCCACGCGCGTGCCCGACTCCTGCTGCCTGGAGTTCAGCGAGAGCTGTGGGCTGCACGCACCCGGCACCTGGTGGAAAGCGGTGAGTGAGACCCCACCCCCTGGGGGTTTGCGGGGACCTAGAGGGTGGGGGCTGTGAGCCAGGAGGGCTCCAGCCTGGGTGACGCGGCTCTCCTCCAGCCCTGTTACGAGACGGTGAAGATGTGGCTTCAGGAGAACCTGCTGGCTGTGGGCGTCTTCGGGCTGTGCACGGCGCTGGTGCAGGTACAGTAGCCTGAGCTGCGAGGGCCTGTTCCCTGGGAGGGAAGCAGAATAGCAAAGGCCTTGTCCCTGCGGGGCCCGTGGTCGGGTGGACCTGGTAGTGAACGCTGCCCTGCAAGGAGCCAGTGTCCCGGACAGAGGCAGGGCCGCAGGGGACGGTCAGGGGTGGACAAGCTGGCCCGAGCTCCAAGCGTGGCCGTCTCCCAGCAGAGGCAGGGGGCGGGGGGGGGGCAGCAGGTTCCTGCAGCTCTAGGCCTGGGAGGGTCTGAACCTCACAGGGTGGGGCCTGCTCACCCAGGCATGGGGGACCCGGGGGTTTCAGGGCTCAGCCCTTAGGTCCCCCTTTCCTGCAGTTTGGCCAGCCTGGGCTCCTCTGGCAGTTCTGGGGGTGTGTTCTGGGCCTTGGCGCCTCTGTGATGACCCAAATGGAGGAGCTGGGGGTGGGGTGTGCAGGACTCTGCCCGCTACGTCCTGTGCCAGGGTGCATCAGGGCCAGGGCACCTGCTGGGGGCGGGGTCCCCTCTGGGCAGTGGCCTGTGGCTCCCTGAGCAGCTCCACCCTCCTCCTATCCCCACAGATTTTGGGCCTGACTTTTGCCATGACCATGTACTGCCAGGTGGTCAAGGCGGACACCTCCTGTGCGTAGGCTGCCTGTCACCTCGCTTCTCTACCAAAGGCCGCCACCCCCCAGGACATGGCCACACACCCACTTTTCCCACCACAGGACTCGGTGCTGCACCCTGGCTGGGCTCTCGGTGCACCTGCGCTGAGCAGGTGCCTGCAGCCCCCAGGAATCCTGTCCCTGGAAGGCCCTGGGGTCTCTGCACCAGCGGAGGGGCGGCCAAGCGCTGGCTGCGGTACCCAAGGCTGGGGGGCGGGAGGGGCTACCAGCAGTTTTTATACCTATGTATCCTCCAGAGCAGTGCTCACACAGGATGGGGCGGCCAAGCTGTGGTCCCCAGCCTCCCACAGACACTGGGTGGGGTGCAGGGGCTGGATCTCAGCCGCCCTCAGGCCGCTCACTGGTCCTGGTGCTCCAGGCGGGGCACAGGCCCCGTCATCCACATTCCGGCGGTGCCCGGGCTCCAGGTGCATCTCAATAAAGAGTGTGAGCAGCAGCCCCGTGTGTGTTGCCAGTCTGTCCCCTGCCCCCCTCTCCCTGCCGGCACCAGGCAGACTCCGCAGCTGCCACGCAGAGTGGACACTCCCACCAGTGCAGCGTGGGCCTGCCGCGTTGGCTAGGAAAGCGCACGCCTGCATGAGCTGCCGCAGAGGACAGAGCCGCAGGGCCACTGGTTAAAGAAGTCCATTACATTAGCCACAGGAAGTGGCGCAGAGGCCCCTGGGGAGATTTCTGAGCCCCTCACCTGCCGACTCCCCATCTCAGCCCCTCCCCTGGGGTGTGCTCGAGGTGGAGCTCCGCTCACCCCCCATCCCCATATCCGTTTCTGTTCCTAGGAGCGCTGCCCTTCTAAGTGGGCTGGCAGAAGCAAAACAGTTGTCAGGCGCAGAATTAGAGAAATGGTCAAAATGCATCAAACTACCTCAAAAACAGGATTCTTACAACCAGAGAGTGAAGAGGGTTGTGGTGGTGACAGCCAGCACAGGGATGACAGTTGGGGGGGTCCAGGTTGGGGCATGGGCACCTCCCAGGAGCCTCACTAGCTCGGGGGCATCTGATCCCCCAAACTGCACCCCACAATCTCTAGTTCCAGCTCACTCCTGCCACCTCCAGGGCCCTACCGGCTCCCCATCACCCCTGGGGCACACTTGGCCCCCCAGCTGTCACCATCCTGTGTGGTACATCCACCTGTCTGCACCAAGCGCTGACCTTGGGGGGACATGAGCAGGGTGTCCGAGTGCCTGGCCCAGAGCTGGGGCCGCCCCTCCCTCTGCCCTCCCAGTTAGAGGGTCTGGCCCACGTCCCAGCTCTCAGCTCTGAGCTCAATTCCTGTCACAAACCCTTGTGGCTAAATTGGCCCCAGCTCCACCCGAGATGCGTGGCCCCACTGTCGGCCCCTATGGCATCCTCAGTGGCCAGAGGGACACTGGCGGCCTGGCCCTGCCCACTCCCACTTGGAGTCTCTCCCCACCCAGGACCCCTGCCTGGAACACTCACCCACCTGTGCCCTGGGGTCTCTGAGGGAGCACCTGATGCGGCCTGCTGCCCCAGCACGGCCGGCAGCCCACATGTGGGTGTTGACGTGGTGCCACGGGTAGTGGGCCCACGGCTCCCAGACCCCCGCCCTCCCTGCTTGGCTGGGTCTTCGACGCTGGGGAGGGAGCTGGGGGGGCTCCGCTTCCAGCCAGATCAACTGGTTGGTCAGGGAGAGAACAGGGCTCAGCCCAAGGCGCCCCTTGCTGTGGCCCCCCAGAGCTGCTGGTGCTCTGGTCTCAGCCTCACGCCCTGGCGGGCAGGGCACACTGCACACCCACTTCTCCCAAGCGCCACACCCACTTCTCCCAAGCGCCATACACGCAGCCGTGGCACCTGAGCACAGCGACTTCCTGACACACTGGGTGGCACGAGGCTGCCTACTGCTCCTGTCCCCTGCTCAGGCCAGCCCCACCCCCCAGATCTGCAGGGGCAGGGCAGCCCCTGAGGGCCCCTTGGGGGTTGGGATAGGGTGGTTGGCTGAGGCTGTCCACCCCACAGCTCCCCTGACCATACTGAGCCCCTAGCCTGTGGTCACACTTGTACAGCTGGGTGGCCGGGGGCTGCCCCAGCCAGAAGCCAGCAGGATGCAGCCAGTCAGTGTCCTGAGGCTGGTTTCTGCCACGGCCCACCTGGCAGCCAGGTGGACCTCTCACCCACACTGAGAGCAGCTCCCTCGGCCGAGTGGCCCTGACAAGGGGTCCAGCCAGGCCTGCCTGTGAGTTGGGCCAGGCCCTGACCCCAAGGACAAACATCTGTCCCCTTAAAACCCTCCCCCATTCCCAAACCCATGGTGCGGAAATGATTCCTGTGCCCCAGACCCCAAGGGCTTCATGGAAGCTACAAAGCTCAGGGCTGGGCCTGGTTAGAGGGTTTGGTGGGCATGACCAGGGTGGGCTATAGGCCCTTGGTCAGTGATTGCAGAGGACCCGCCTGTGCGGAGCCAGCGGGAGGAGAAAACCCCACTGACACTGACGCCCAGGAAGGGCTAAGGAGCCTCACAGCCAGTGGGGGTGGGGGCGGCCACGCCGGGGTGTGTGGTGCCTCCAAATGCCCAGACACCTCCCTGACATCTGGGCTGGGCCTGGCCACGGCTGCACCACAGGGCACGTGGAGCCGGCCAGCTGCCAGCCTCGAGCCACATTTTAGCAGTCAGGCCATCTTCCCCGACTCAGCCATGGTCCCTCACTACGTTCCAGGCTGTGGCCAGGCCAGCACGGGGTCATGCGATCTGAGGTGGCAGAGCTGACCTGGGGTCCAGGGCCAGAGTTTCAAGGGGGTAGGGCTGGCTCCTCTGAGCCCCCGTTTCCAACGTGGCCCGCACGCCTTAGCCATGCTGGGCTCGGTGGGGACACTGGCGTGCCCGCTGCAGGTACCAGGCGCCTGTGCACACACGTGCCCATGGCAGGCCAGGTGTGACTGTGGTGCGTGGGGCAGAGCCCTCAGCTGTGCCGTTGCCAGGCCCTGGGGTCCAGCTGTGGGTGGGTCTGGGATTGCTCCGGAGCTTCCAAATCCAACCCCAGGAGTCAGGGAGCAGCTGGGACAGGCCCGTGGGGGCTGTGGGTCCTGCCCCCACCAGCCAACTGGGTGCCCCCTCAGCCAGGACTCCTCCCAAAACTTGTACCCAGGACAGGGCCCCCTCCATGTGAGGGTAGGGCGTCACGCGGTACCTGGCCTCCCACTGAGGACCGCACAGACGTGTCTCAGCAACAGAGCAGAGCCTGTATTTCATACAGTTGGTCCCCGTGTGGCTTAGGGCTGTGCTGCCCAGCCTAGAGCAGGTCGTAGAAGTAGTCCAGGCCCTGGCCCAGCTCCCAGATGGAGACCCCGACGCCCAGCTCCCTGGCCAGCTCCAGCCTCACCTGTAGAGACTATGGGCAGACAGAGGTGTGGGCACCTGCCAGGGCTCCCGCCCCTCAACGCACCTGGGGACTCTCCCAAGGCCAAGAGGCAGCATGGCCAGACTCGGCTGACTGCCGCTGCGCACCGCGGCGGGGAAGGGCTGCTGTGTCACTCAGCCTGACCAGAACCGCCGGCAGCCCCGGCACATGACGGCAGCACACATACCTTCAGAGTTGGGTAGAAGACGACGTGCTTCCAGCCGCGGCTCCTGTGGGACAAGTGGGACTGCCTGTCATCCCTGGGTGTCTCGGCCCCACCCTGCTCCCAGCTGGGTCAGGGGCCTGGGCTCCTCCCACTGTCCTCCTATGCCACCTGCTGCCTGGCTGTGCTCAGGGGCAACAACTGAGCTTGTGGATCTGGGGACCTCAGCCCCCAGGCTGGCCCCTGTTCCCCTGCCTCCACCCTCATCCCAGGGCCTCGTCCCTACAGCTGGGCTGGGTCATCCACATCCCAACACTCACTTCTTGTACTCGAAGAAGTGCTCCGAGGCCTGGCTGTCCCACATGATCCGGGGCCTGTGGTCCTTCAGGACCTGGATGTACCTGGGGAAAGCAGGTGTGGGTGTGGGAGTCTGCTGCACCCCCGCCCCTCCGGAGGCTGTGGCTATCACAGAAGGGGCAAGGCTGTGCCTGGGGCAGCAGGTGGCGGGAGCCATTGTCCCCAGTGGTCCATGGATGCCAACGATGCCCTGTGCTCTGTGGGAGGGCTGGTGGGGTGGCCAAAGCCCCAGACTCTGCCGCACATGTGAACCCTGTATTCAAGGAAACACCAGCAAATACCTTTCCAAGAGCCTCCTTGGGGGAAGCCACCCACTGACTCTCCCTGACTCTCTGCTCTGCTGAACGATGCTCGCACCTGGGGCCACCTGACCCTGGGGGTGGTGCTCGCCCTTCGAAGTGGCTGCTGGACGTGGGCTCCTCACCATGCCCGGAGCTCTGGTACAAGGGTGGCCAGACTGACCTCAGGCGGCCCCAGCCTGGCCACAGGCCCTGTGCTGAGGGGCAGTGGCTCCTACTGGGGACAGCGCCTCCTACTGGGGACAGCAGCCCCGGGCACTGGTGCCTGGCCCCGTCCAGGGCCTGGGTCTCCCTTGGCCTCCTTCCCCCGCTGTTGAAAACGGCCATCCACACCCAGGGCTGCCACAGGCCCTTCCTGAGCACCAGAAGCCAGGGTTTGAGAGCCACCCCTCCCCCCACACAGAGGACAGGCTCAGTCCTGAGGTGCTGGGGTCAGGACTGGGGTTTCCAGAACTCGTGGAGTGCCCCAAGTGCATGCCACCATCTCCCACCGCACATTTGAGACTGGGGCTGGTGGTCCCAGGACCCTATGAGCCACAGCCCCCAGCAACACAAACAGATGGTTCTAGAAGAAGCTTCTTGTCTCTGTAGGCAGGAGTCTGTGCAGGGGGAGGGCTCCTCCTTCAGGCAGCTGACAGCTGGACACGAGCAGTAGCTGCCAACTGTGGACGGCGCCCACAGGGTACATGGGCCTACAGCCTGGGCTCCAAGGAGGAGAATGGGCAGGGCAGCTGCAGGGCCTGAGGGAAACTGGGCCGGGCAGGGCAGTGGGTTATCCAAGGAAGAAGCAGAGGCCGGCAGGGCTTTCTTCCCTGGGCTACTGACCTCAAGGTGTGGAAGGTCTCAGGCCCCACAGGGAAAGGCTGCTGTTGTCCTGAGCAGAGCGGAGGCCCCCCAATGCCTGGGGCCTCTCCCAGACTACAGCAGCTGTCACTGTCCAGCAGTGCACGAGAACGCTGGACCCTCAACCCTGGGGCAGCCCTGGCCTTGGGTGTGGGGAGGGGGCTGCTCCATAGGCATGGGGGCCTCCCAGACCCCACAAGACACCAGGACGAGCAGGACAGGAAGGGTGGGGCACAAACACCCCGAACTAAACAGCGCAGGTCACGGCAGCCTCCCCGACCCACGATGAGCTTCCTCCAGGTGCCTGTAATGAGACTGCACCAGAGGAAACTCCAGCCGCCCCAGGCCCAGGAAAGCACTGCTGGCCCCCAGGACATCCCAGTGGGCACTGCCCTCCCCAAGCTGGTCCGGGCTCCTCAATGCTGCTGCAAGCCACGCCAACAGAGCTCACAGACACAGACGGGCTGTGGTGGGCCTGCTGAGCGCAGGGGCCAGTGGTGAACTGGGAGCCCTGGGGAAGGGTGGCAGGGCACCCTTGCCTCAGGAACTTAATGTAGGACACGACAGCTGCCCTGCAGCCCTGGCTGACTCCTGAACCCCACACCCTGAGAGTCACCTGTGCCCACTGCAGGTGCAGCTGCAACCCTGTCAGACAACTCTGGTCATATAAATTACTGGACCATCCTTAATTAAAACACTACTCCAGATGTGGGTGTCATCTGTGGCTTTCAATCCAGAGTCTGCCGAATGCCTCTCCATGGGGAGAATCTGGGCAGATGCTGATGGCCTGGGGGGGGGGGGGGGAGGTTCCGGCCTCGCCACATACTCCTCCTCCTGGGGCCTCATGGCCACCCCTCAAAATCTGCTGTCCACTGGAGGGGTGAGGCTGGGGTCTCAGCCAGGGCCCCGAGAGCCCTGGATCCTCCCCCTTAGGAGGCGCAGGCCCGGAGAGTGAGGGGCGGGAAGGCACTATGCTGGGGGTGGCCAGGACAGGGCACCGACAAAGACCTCCGGCCTCTCCTGAGCACTGGCCTGGGGCACAAAAAGAAGGGACAGCCAGGTGCTCGGCGGGGCTGAGCCCGGCAGGAGGGTGCAGCCACCGAGCCGCGTGTGGGACAGCTATAGGCATGGCTTCAGGCACCCGGAGGGGCCACCCAGCCTGGACTCTCCTCTAGGGCAATGCGAGGGGCATGGCCAGCATGCAGGACAAGCCACCAGGCGAGCCAGGCTCCCCACAGGTGTAGCAAGGGCCACACAGGCCTTTGTGGGGAGCAGGCACCAGCCACAGCGAGTGGGGGACGGGCCAGGGGTCTGCCTAGGAGGAAAGAAGGGACACAGAGGGCAGAGGGCAGAGGGCAAAGGGCAAAGGAAAGACCAGAGGCTGGGGGTGGGAGAACCGTCGACACTGGCATCGTGGGAAGCCCGGAGGAAGAGAAATCAGCACACAGGAGACTAAGAAATGAGGACTATTTCCCTAAATTAAAAGTAAAGGCCTTGGCCACATGCTGTACGCTCTGCTTACGTGAAATGTCCCGAACAGGCAAACCCACAGACGGACAGCGATGAGGCCGGCAGGGGCTGGGGTGCAACCGCTAAGAGGGTATAGGGCTTCCTTCTGGGGTGACGGAAAAGTCCTCCCCCGGGAAAGCCGCACCCTGGTGGCCGCAACTTCTCCGCACTGCCTTCGAGACGTGGAATCGTTTCCTAATGACACAGGGTGGCTCAGTGCATGTGCGATCTTGTGATCACACCGAGACACGTCTGGAAGCCAGCACGGACAAGGCAGTCAAGGTGGGGGATGTGGCCATCCTACCGGTGCCACTGCACTGCCTGGGACAGGGCCTGGGGGCCTCTTGGGAGGAGGCTCTCACCATGGCACGAGGGCTGCACCTGGGTGCCACTGTCACGCCCTGTTCCTCGCATGTGGTCCCCTCGGCTCCCAGTTGCCCAGGAGAGTCTGCAAACCTTGTCCCCCAGATACCTGGAACATTCCAGACAAGCCGTCTTTTTCCACCCATTCCTCAGGAGCCTGGCTAAGCAGATCCCAGGGGAGAGGTGCCTGCTGGCCCAGCTCTGCGTGGGTAGCCGACGCCTGCCTCGCTCAAGGCCTCCGTGGGCTGGCTCCCTGCCACGCCACAGCACGGGTTCCGCAGGGCGCTTCTCCGTGGAGTGACGTAAGGGGGTTAGGGGAACACACCCCCGCCTCTGGCTCATAGAATTCATCCTGACCCGTCTTTCTGAGTTACGACTTGAGAGAGGCCTCCACCACGAGAGACAGACCTAAATACTCACACCCAGGGGAAGTGCAAGGGCAGAAGAAAGCTCAAAGTCCCAGTGAAGCCCCAGCCCTCTCAGCAGACTTCCAGGCACACGAGGATACCGGGCTGCGCAACAAGAGCAGGAGAACTGAAATCAGGACAGAAACACAACGTCCCACAGCAGGAAAGGAGAAGCTAGACAAACCACACCCGGGAAGGGACAGAAAGACCAAGACCAGGGATGTGGAGAGAGGGCCCAAAGGCCGCAGGCGGGGACAAGGCCACAGTGCCCTGTGATATCCGCAGTTCTTAGGGACAGTGCCTTCCACTTCTACGCTGTCCCAAGCTAAGACACCAGCCGAGGGGGCGCAGCCGGCAGGAGAGGACGCAACTGGAAGCCCCGACAAACCCAGAGCTCCCTGAGGGGAGGGGCCAGTGGTCTCCACTGAGGCTGAGCTAGGAGGCCAGGCAGCGGCCGGCAGAGGCTGTGCGGGCAGCTGGCCCACAAAATGGGTTTGGATGCTGGGTGTCTGTGGTGACGCGCCGCCTCTGGGGACAGACCCGGACCCCTTCCCGTGGCCAGAGCAATGGGGGGCTTCCTTGAGAGGGTCCTCCTGGCCTGTGTCTCGGACCACAAGCCTGGCCTCTTCGCAGAGCTGCCGGGGAGGCAGAGGGGCAGACGCAAGGACGGAAGATAGACGGCTGCGTCTCAGCAGCGCAGTGAGCGCGGCCCTGTCTGGCACGGGTGCTTCTGTGGTGGGAGGGGCTCAGTGGCCCACAGACGGCTGGGGGCATGTCGGGGCACTGCTGAGGCCTGCCCCTGCCCTTCCCTTTCTGGCATGCCTGACTGCCGGCACCCTCCCCGCAGCCACTGGTGCTCCTGTCTGCAAGGTGGTGACGGCTGGTGCTGACACCCATGTCTCTGTGCTTCCCTGACTCTCCTGCCTGAGCTGCTTCCTCAGCCCCCCTGGGTGGCTGAGTTTGGACCCTCCCTTCACGGACTGAGTGCCTGGCAGCACCATGCCCCTAGCCCACAAGCCTACAGCCACCGCACACCAGGTGCACCTGTGATCTGGAAGTCACTCTCCAATCACGTAACCACATCATCATTGCTGCCAGGAGGCCATACCGGGGTGCTGGGGTAAAGGTGGCTCTGTCTGTGTGGCTGGCGGCAGAAACACGCTGGCCTGAGGAAGCCAACCCTGAGAGGCACTGTGCGGTGTGTCATCAGAAAGGACATGCCGGCTTGGGAGGCACTCCCCGGTCACATTGGCCCAGGTGGGGGACCCGCCTTTGTCAGGCAGTTTCTGAAATTCTATCCCAAAGGACCCCCCATCCCAAATGCAGACGAGAGACATACTGGATTCATAGGTTCTGAGAAGATGTGATTTCTAGGAGCGAGTGCAGCTCGCACTTTCCTTTTTCTTGGTCCCTGCACAGAGACTGGCCGCTGCTGCCCGGCTCTCCGCCCTGTCGGGCCTCGTCCACCACCCCTCCTCCAGGGCAACTTCTACCCCTCAACCAGGCCTCACTGGAGACCACCTTTAGGCCAGCATGGGACCTCGACTCTGGCCGGGGAAACAGGACACAGGCCTAGGAGGTGGAGGACAGAGGGCGGGAGGAAGGGCCCAGCCGCACCACTGC